TAAAATCTGCTTTAGCCTTAATGCTCCTGCTAAGGACACGTATTCTGGGGAAAACAAGTGGTGGTGGTTTAAAGGCCTGCCGTTCTTCTGAAATATATTTGAAACGCTCAGATTCTGTTCAGACTTCTGTTAAGTATTGTAACATAGACATTTTGCCTTAACTGTGCGCAGACTTGTAGACAAACAAAGGGCTATTTTTCCTTTACTTGATATTAGTATTAAGTTAACTGGATTTCATGCTTTCAGGTTATAAAGGTTTATAAAATGAATATGCACAGTAATGACAGGCAGGCATAAACATTTCTGAAGATTAAAGAATGCAAGGGTCTGCTTTACATTTTAATGTTGCACAAAGAAGATCACTACTGTTAATGAGGGTGTTTTTACTGATTCAGGTTAAAAATGTCAATTGTTAGTTAAGAGATTTGATACACAGAAAATTGCATGGTGTAGAGGAGCCCAGCTCGCTTTTCATTCGTAGCTCAGCTCTGTAACCTGGTGTTCTTCTGGTCTCTGTAGGCCGGGTCCTGTGTCAGATGGTGCCCTGTGGGGCTGAGGAGGTGGACGAAGCCATACAGAGTGCCTACGCCGCCTACCAGAAGTGGAGCAAGATGGCAGGCATGGAGAGGGCTCGGGTGATGTTGGAAGCTGCTCGTATTATGAGGGTGAGGCAGCCAAGCTGTTGTGTAATAACCACCAGCAGTCCAGGAAACTGTCTAGTTCAGTGTTTGTGCAATATAAATTGGAGTTGACTGTTGGAAGCCTGCAATAAGACATTAGTTATTCATTAAAATGCAGCCCTCCCTCCACTGCTGGCCTTGTTGTGTGTTACACATACAGTGACCTGCAGTGAAACTGGACCCCTTTCAACCATACATACATGGCACAAACATTCACATTGGGAAGATAGGTCAGAGAGAGGTAGAATGTCAGAGAAACGAAGAAATACCCAACATCAGGGACAAGAGGAGAAAAAGATCTCTGCTCAAAAACAAACCCCAGCTCAGCACAGAAAAGCACATGGATCTTCACATCTTACACCATGTAAAAAGGACGTGACATGGGTGGGGCGTATGAAGGAGTGAGCCAGTGTAGACAACAGCC